CTTCCCGAAGCCGTCGCGACGATCCGGCTCCTCCTGCTCAGCCCCTTGCTGCTCGCCTACACGCCGAATTTCCTTACCGCTCGGCGCAGTATCGATCCCTCCGTTCACTGGCAGCATCTCAGTCCCGCCGGTTCGAGCATCCCCAAACTAATATTTACAATTCTGCAAGACCGAGGCTATCTGGAAAAATCCCTCTCCCTGAAGGGCACGTTAGGATTTTAACTAAACTGGCTCACTTGAGGCAAAGAGAGAGAGAGAGAAGGAGGGGGAAGCAGAGAGGAAAGAAAACAAAGGGTGCTTTAAAAGAGAAGAGTTTATTTTTAATTGTCTTTTAACTGCAGACATTAACATAAAGGACAGGGCTCTGGGGCTATCTTTTTTGGTGGTGGTGGTGTGACCGTAAATGATTCCCTTAATGTAGTTTTTGATATAGAGCCCAAATTAGCTCTAATAAAAAGGGATAATAAAGGCAGCTCTTCTACAAAAATAAACTCCTCCTAGCTGTCAAGCCTGAGCCATTATCAAGAGGAAGCAGCGCTCTCATTTCAATTAACCTTGTTTGCACCCCACCACGTCCACACAAATAACAATAACATTAATTCAAGGCACTGGTGCGGTGCGTCCGTATTAGACAGCTTTGACTATGTACACGCTTTGGAGCCGGCGGCTAATGAACCCGAAACTCCACGTGAATTTCCAAATTGCTCACAACAGAGTTTTGAAGCTCTATTAGGGAGAAAAATGCTGATTCTTTTCGAGTTCCTCAAGGGGAAAAGCTGTTGTAGCAGCAGCGGGCGGCTGCCCGAGTCCTAGCCTCTCGCTAACCCTCACTCACAAACCCATTCATTGAGATTTACCGGTTTCTCTCAATCATCGGGACACGGCCGTGGCTCTGCCTCATCACGGAGAAATTCCCCGCTCATCACTTCGATGAAGATGCTCTTCGGCCGAGGGCTCTGCCCTGCATCCCCGGCGGGGCAAAATTCCCCAACTACCAGCTTTGCCTCTCCCCTGGGCTCCTTTTTCCATTGCCAGAGGGGTAGTTTCATTTTTGCAAGCATCTGCAAAGCATCGTACCCATCTGGAGCAGCCCTCCGCCCCGCAGAGCATCCTCTGCTTGGAGCAAAGCTTTTGCTGTTTAGGATGGGGAAAAACTTCCCGCTGCTGTGATAGCTTTCCCATAGAAAATAGATGGATTGTCCTTCTCTTTCGGTGGGGAAACTGAGGCACGGGATCACCCCCAAGTTGAGCAAGAGTTTTGTCTCAAACCAACAGCTAAGCCCTGTAAGCCCTTGGTCTATCACCTCTCGGACTGGGCACGTGGCCCCATCCTTGGTGACTTCCCACCGAGGTGAGACACACAACAACCCGAAGCTTCTCCAACGAGGAGTTTTTGGGGTTTCCCCCCTCCCCATCACCACAAAGTGGTCAACTACTGGGGCATGGGCAAACCTGGCAACCCCCAAACCACAGCCGACACCGCGCTGTCATTCACCCCCACGAAGAAAAGAATTCCACGTCTTCAAACCTCAACTCCAACAGCCAAAATCAAGCCGCTCCTGCAATCCGTCATCCTCAAGCATGCCTGGTTAGGGGCCCCTGCTTCAGCAGGGGGTTTGGAATAGATGACCCACAGAGGTCCCTTCCAATCCTGACCATTCTGTGATTCTGTGATCCCAGGAGCAAGCGGGATCCGCTCCACAAAACCCCACGAGCAGGGGGGAAACCGCTGCTCTCCTCTACTGAGCGGCTTCACCTGCCTTTCTCTGCTGCTGATAAATGAGGCGAAAGCCACCTTTGCTGGTAATCACCCGGGTTAACAGGGAGCTACGGGAGCTGCAAAGCAAAGTCGCCTCTCGCTTTGGGTAGCAGCATCCCCACAGCTATAAATCACCCTGAAACAGGCTGGAACTCCGCAGAGGAGGTTGTTTCTCTTCCAGCCCGTGCTGACGACGAGGAGGTGAGCGGAGACCTCCGAATCGCCCCCCCGGGGCACCTAATCCTGCGAAAAATAATCCTCCTTCCCCGCGGAGCATGACACGGACAGGCAGAAACACGCGCTCTGATAGCGTTTGTTTCTAAGGCTCATCAGAGAGTTGGTACCTGCCTGCTTCATTTGTGGGTTTGTTAATTAACAACTCGGCTTGGGTTTAGATGATGCTTCAGTAGCGGTGAATTGGTAAGGGAAAAGGTGAGATGGGCAGAGGCCAGCCACGCCCCACGGGACCCCTTCCCAGGGATCCAGTCCCTGAAACGCCATCGACAAACCAGCTCTTCTGCAGGAGACATCAGCACGGCCACCTCCTTTCTAATCCAGTTTTATTACCATGATGATACTGTAGTTCACAGAATCACAGAATGGCAGGAGTTGGAAGGGACCTCTGTGGGTCACCCAGTCCAACCCCCTCCCGAAGCAGGGTCGCCTACAGCAGGCTGCACAGGACCTTGTCCAGGCGGGTCTTGAATATCTCCAGAGAAGGAGAATCCACAACC